CAATTGAATCCAACTATGCATCAGAAAGATCATCCACCCAGACCAAGCGGAACTTATCCATGGTATGCAGGGATGGTTCAACATTTGAAAATCAATCAATGTGATACATCACATCAACAAACTGCAGAACAAAAACAATATGGTTATCTCAAGATGCAGAGGAAACATTTGATAAAATACATCACCCTTTCATGATGAAAACTCTCAGCAAATTGTATATAGAAGGGACATTCCTCAACACAATCAAGGCAATTTTTGACAAACATGGCCAATAGTCCTACTGAATGGGGAAAAGTTGGAAGCATTCCCACTGAGATCTGGAATCAGACAAGGATACCCACTTTTACCATTGCTATTACTATTCCTGGAAGTTTTAGCCAGAGCCAGTAGGCAAGAAAAATAAATCAAAGGGATACAAACTGGGAGGGATGAAGTCATACTATTCCTATTTGCAGATGATATGATTCTTTATTTAGGGGATCCAAAAGACTCCACCAAGAGACCATTGGAACTCATAGAAGAGTTTGATAAGGTAGCAGAATATAAAGTCAGTACACAAAAATGAACAGCCTTTGTACACACAGACAATACCAAAGCTGAGATTAACCTTCAAAGATCAATCCCATTCAAAATAGCTACAAAAAATATCAAATACCTTGGAATAAATTTAACCAAGGATGTCAAAGATCTCTACAATGAAAATTGCAAAACTTTAAAGAAAGAAATAGAAGAAGATACAAAAAAATGGAAAAATCTTCCATGTTCATGGATTGGAAGAATCAATATCACCAAAATGCCCATTCTTCCAAAAGCAATTTACAGATCCAATGTGATACAAATCAAAATATCAAAGACATTCTTCTCAGATATAGAAAAAAATGACATTGAAATTCATATGGAAACACAGGAGACCTCGAATAGCTAAAACAATTTTTTTTTGACAGGCAGAGTGGACAGTGAGAAAGAGAAACAGAGAGAAAGGTCTTCCTTTGCCGTTGGTTCACCCCACAGTGGCCGCTGCGGCCAGCGCGCTGCGGCCGGCGCACTGCACTGATCCGAAGCCAGGAGCCAGGTGCTTTTCCTGGTCTCCCATGTGGGTGCAGGACCCAAGGACCTGGGCCATCCTCCACTGCCTTCCCAGGCCACAGCAGAGAGCTGGACTGGAAGAGGAGCAACCGGGACAGAATCTGGTGCCCCGACTGGGACTAGAACCCGGTGTGCTGGCACCACAGGCGGAGGATTAGCCTAGTGAGCAATTTTATACAACAAAAACAAAGCTGGAGACATCACAATACCAGCTTTCAGGACAGACTACAAGGCAGTTATAATCAAAACAGCCTGGTACTGGTACAAAAACAGATGGATAGAAGAATGGAACAGAATAGAAATGCCAGAAATCAATCAAAGCATCTACAACCAACTTATATTTGACCAAGGAGCTAAAACCAATCCCTGGAGCAAGGGCAGTCTCTTCAATAAATGGTGCTGGGAAAACTGATCTCCACATGCAGAAGCATGAAGCAAGACCCCTACCTTATACCTTACACAAAAATCCACTCAACATGGATTAAAGATCTAAATCTATGATGTGACACCATCAAATTATTAGAGAACATTGGGGAAACCCTGCAAGACATTGACACAGGCAAAGAGTTCCTGGTAAAGAGCCTGGAGGCGCAGGCAGTCAAAGCCAAATTAACAAGTGGGATTACATCATATTGAGAAGTTTCTGTACTGCAAATAAACATTCAGGAAAGTGAAGAGGCCACCGACACAATGGGAGAAATTATTTGCAAACTATGCAACTGATAAAGTATTAATAGCCATAACATATAAAGAGATCAATAAACTACAAAAACAAACAAACAACCCAGTTAAGAAATGGGCAAAGGACTTAAACAGATATTTTTCAAAAGAGGAAATCCAAATTGCCAACAGACACATGAAAAAATGCTGAGAATCACTAGGCATCAGGGAAATGCAAGTCAAAACCACAATGAGGTTTCACCTCACCCCAGTTAGAATGGCTTTCATACAGAAATCAACATATAATAAATGCTGGTGAGGATGTGGGGTAAAAGTTACCCTAGTCCACTATTTTTTTTTTAATTTTTTTGACAGGCAGAGTGGACAGTGAGAGAGAGAGACAGAGAGAAAGGTCTTCCTTTTGCCGTTGGTTCACCCTCCAATGGCCGCCACGGCTGGCGCGCTGCAGCCGGCGCACTGCGCTGATCCGAAGGCAGGAGCCAGGTGCTTCTTCTGGTCTCCCATGGGGTGCAGGGCCCAAGCACTTGGGCCATCCTCCACTGCACTCCCGGGCCACAGCAGAGAGCTGGCCTGGAAGAGGGGCAACCGGGACAGAATCTGGCACCCCGACCGGGACTAGAACCCGGTGTGCCGGTGCCGTAAGGCGGAGGATTAGCCTAGTGAGCCTCAGCGCCAGCCCCTAGTCCACTATTGATAGGAATGTAAACTGGTAAAATCATATGGAAGACAGTATGGAGATACCTCAGAAATCTAAATATAGACCTACCATAATATCCAGCCATCCCACTCCTGGGAATTTATCCAAGGAAAATTCAATTAGTAAATAAAAGAGTTATATGCACCCCCATGTTTACTGCAGCTCAGTTCATAATAGCTAAGCCATGGTATCAACCTAAATGCTCATCAACTGAAGAATGGATAAAGAAACTATGGGATACATACACTATGGAATACTACACAGTGGTTAAAAAAAAAGAGAGAAAGAGAGAAAGAGAGAGAAAGAGAGAAAGAGAAAGAGAGAAAGAGAGAAAGAAAGAGAGAAAGAAAGAGAGAAAGAAAGAGAAAGAAAGAGAGAAAGAAAGAGAGAAAGAAAGAGAAAGAAAGAAAGAAAGAAAGAAAGAAAGAAAGAAAGAAAGAAAGAAAGAAAGAAAGAAAGAAAGAAAGAAAGAAAGAAAGAAAGAAATCTGGTCATTTGCAACAAAATGGATTAATCTGGAAAATATCATAAGCCAGTCCCAAAGGGACAAATACCAAATGTTCTCCCTGATCTGTGAAAACTAATAGATTACCTAAAAGAAATTCTGTAGAAGTGAAATTGACACTTTGAGAAGCAATGACTTTAACAGCCCATGTTGCAACTATTGAGGAAAAGTTTTTTCTTCTTCATTTGCTGAACTCTTTACTTAACACATAGTCATATTTGTATAAAGTGAATTGAAATTGATCTCATTAAAAACTAAGAGTGGGAGTAAGAGAGGAAGGAGGAAGTTTGTAACTGTAAAGCTGTATAGTTCTGCATACATTCCTACAGACTTACTTCTAGGAGTACAGTTTAAAAACTTGTCATGGAGGGGCCAATGCTGTGGTGCAACAGGTTAATGCACTGGCCTGAAAAGCTGGCATCCCATATGGGTGCGGGTTTGAGACCCAGCTGCTCTACTTCCCATCCAGCTCTCCACTATGGCCTGGGAAAGCAGTGGAAGATGGCCCAGGTCCTTGGGCCCCTGTACCCATGTGGGAGACCCAGAAGAAGCTCCTGGCTCCTGGCTTTGAATCAGGGCAGCTCTGGCCATTGCGGCCAATTGGGGAGTGAACCATCGGATGGAAGACCTCTTTCTCTGCTTCTCCTCTCTCTGTGTAACTCTGACTTTCAAATAAATAAATCTTTACAAATTTAAGTAAAAACAACATGTTATGAAGAATATAAAACCTTTTAAAAAATTAATAAAAACTTGCCATGGGACCCCAAATCCCATTAAGCTGAGTGGCAAAAATGTTAAAGTGATCATATTAAGTGTTAAAGTGACCATATAGATAGTATTAAGTGTTAAAGGGATCATATAAATAAGACCAAGTGTCTGGCAATAATAATAGAACTAAAATGTAGAGAATGTTCCAACATGGGAAGCAGTCCACACAGCAGACTCACAGAATGACAATCACTTTAAATAGCACTCTGACCTCAGAATCAGCTCTTAAGGCATTCTGGTCTGGCTGAAAAGCCCATGAGAGCATTTCAGGCATGAAAAGCCAAGACACTGTGCCAAAAAATGTCCTACATGAAAGATCTCTGTGAGTGCAACCCCAGTGGAAATAAGTGGCCATCAAAGAAAGATATACTGGGTCTGGTGCTGTGGTACAGTGGGTTAAAGCCCTGGCCTGAGGCACCAGCATCCCATATGGGCACTGGTTCTAGTCCCAGCAGCTCCTCTTCCAATCCAGCTCTCTGCTATGACCTGGGATAGCAGTGGAAGATGGCCTGAGTCCCTGGGCCCCTGAACCCATGTGAGAGACCCAGCAGAAACTTCTGGCTCCTGCCTTTGGATCGGCACAGCTCTGGTTGTTGTGGCCAACTGGGGAGTGAACCAGTGGATGGAAGATCTCTCTCTCTCTCTCTCTCTCTCTCTCTCTCTACCTCTCTCTGTAACTCTTTCAAATAAATAAAATAAATCTTAAAAAAAAGCAGGATATACTTTTCTCTGAAGGGAGGAGAGAATTTCCACTTTGCTTATTGCCTTGTCTAAAACTGATAGAGATTATGAATTCAAAAGGTTTCCATAGTCTGTAAGCTCATGTCAGGAGCCTCAGGTGATCCCTGACGTCATACATAAGAGTGTTAATTGTTAAATTGACAACAGGAGTCACTGTGCACTAACTCCCCATGCAGGACCTCTGTCCTCAATGAGTTGTATTACGAGAATTAACTGTAAAACTTGTTCTCAGTTTTGTGTGTGTGTGTGTGTGCAAATTGTTGAAATATTTACTTAGTCTGGAGTTGGTCTTCTGTATATAAAGTTAATTAAAAGTGAATCTTAACGGAGAATGTGACTGGGAATGGGAGAGAGAGGAGGAGGAAGGGTTGGAGTGGGGGTGGGAGAGTGGGTATGATGGGAAGAATCTCTATATTCCTAAAGTTATACTTATGAAATTTGTACTCCTTAAATAAATGGCTTCTTTGGGGAAAAAAGAATACATTAAAATGATTGAGAAGAGTTAACAGCAAACTTAGAATGTAGCATTTTTTGGTTCTATTTAATAGTTTTGTTCAGAAAGAACACATCTGATTAGCTTAAAAAGCAATGTTACATTTACTTAAAAATGTGTGTACATATTTCCTAATTTACATGATTTGATCTTTTCCACTTGTTATTAAATTCATATACAATACTAGAATCTCATTATATAGGTTAAAAACATAAAAGATAGCTTTAATTTCAAGTAAAATTTCCATTGATAATACAGAATTAGAAGCCTGCGTACTTTTCACAAAATGCTTAGAAGACACCGTATTCTCAGACTGTGGTCTTAGATGGTCAGAAACAGACTCAAGATTTTTAGAAAACTCTAGCTTTAGTGTAAAATATAACTTTGGTGTTTCCTTAAAAAAAAAGTGAGCAGTGCAAATTTCCTCTATTGAACAGAGGTATTCATATATTTTCTGCAAGGCTATGACATTCACCCTAGAGACAGGACTTGGTGCCAAGATAAGCAGTTCTAACTGTGAAAATGAGATAGTGTTATAATAATCCTGGTTATGCTGTGGCCAGATATAGAATCTGAATTCAGGATCAACCAGTTTGAGATGACTGTATTCCTTCAGAAGTGGACACACAGCTTCTAACTGTTTTAAGAAGAAAAACAGAGATAAGACAAGCTACCTCTGAACAGCTGAACACATTGGGACTTTCAGATATGTGTCCAAAGGGGTCTTCAAATACATACAAGAGGTCTTCAAAAAGTGCATGGAAAAGTGCACGTTGCCTTTTCATTACATGTGAAGAACATTGGCATTATTCTCAGTAATTTCAGTTGAGGGCTTAAATTGTGTTTTGTTTTGTTTTGTTTTTGTCTTTAGAAATGAAGTGCAACTTCATTCACTCCAATACGAAACATATAGGAGTGGTCCACATGACCAAAGCCTGTATATAACTCTAAAATTATTGGCACTAAGAAAAGTTTAAGTAAAAATAAAATTAAAAAAAGATGTAAAATAAAATCTTCTGGGGTAGAATATGAATTTTTTTTAAATTTCCAATGTATGTATTTCAAACCATTCTGCTTTATCTTTGAAACCCGATTTTTAAATATAGATAACTTTAGGTACTTCACTTTTTAGATTAATTTTGAAAAGTAGTCAGAATTCAGTTAGAGATTACTTATTTTACATGCTGTTAAAATTTTGGACAAAAATATCAAGTCATTTTAATCACCATGATAACAGATTTTTTTTTTCTAAAAGCAACGCAATTTTCATGTTAGATTTTTAGACCATACCTTTATATACCTCCATACAAGGATCGTTTCTATGGAAGACAGTCTTTCAATGACTAACTTTAAAAAAAAAATCAACATTTTAAAAAATGTAATAGAAAAAGGATGAGTGTTTCAAGGCCAAATAAATAATCAAGGCAGAAATGCTGGCGTGGAATGACATTGGTAGGTGCGTTCTGTCTTGGAGTCCTTCTGATCAGATCTCCTGGACCTGTTTTCAGGAGGCAAGTCTACGCATAGCCTGTGGAAGCAAAGGGGAACCCAGAGGTGATGCAACTGAATTCTCCTAAGTCTACATTCTCTTTTTTTGCAAATAAATCAGTCTAGTATTGATCACTTGTTTTTACTCACCTCGGGTGGACATATCACAAATGAAGGAAGGTAAAAACCTAATTTAAACCTCTTCATATTTCAATTGGATTTACTGAAAAGCAATTAGCTACTATTTATTGAGTACTTATTATGTAAAGACATTGTCTTCTTACTTTATGTGCATCCTTTAATTTTCACAACTCTGTGGTATAATTATTCCTAAGTCACATGAAGTTACTAAAATGAAAATTCTAACTAATTTTCATGGCTACATAGCAAGTTAAGTAGCAGCAGCAGGATCAGCACCTAGGTGTACGTGACCCCAAGACCCATGCCCTTGACACAGGGGGCTATGCTGCTCCATCACCTGTACAACACCTTCCTGGGTTGATCCTTCCATGTGTCCATCATGCTCCTAAAATATGGCTCCTGCTTAAGTGCTGATTTGATATATGAGTTTTTACTTAACTAAGGCTGCCTGTACTCACAGAACCACAGACTACTACAGCTGCAAGGACTGCTCAGCTCAACACTGAATTTCATGGGTTCACTGCACTGGTAGGCTAAGTTGCAGGGCTGAGATTTTCAACTCTAGTAGTGCGCTTCCTTCACAAAGACCTCTGCCTGTCATGCCCACTACCTGATTTCACCACAGGACACTGAATGTTATTGTGTTCAACATTCTTATCAAGACCAGGAAAAAGGCAGAGATTTTCTCATGATACCACTGTGGGTGCACGAATATGCTGAAGGATAGATTCAAAATACAAAACGATGCCAATAGACGGGAACTAAAAAGACACCACCCAGCAGAAATATGGATAGTCTTGCATTTGGGTCAAAAACCAATTCCACAGGGGCTGGCGTTGTGGCATAGCAGGTGAAGTCTGCAATGCCGGCATCCCACATGGGCGCCGGTCCTAGTCCTGGCTGCCTGAGCATACCAGTCAGCCAAACCTTGCCAAACTATGTGCCCGTGAGGAACAGTAGAAGGAATCGGAGGGGTCTCTCCTGGAGGACTGTCTGGTGCTGATGTGGCAGCCACCTTCAAGTAACTGAAGGTGGGAAGGTTTGTGTCACTGAGGAAGGTACATCTCACTCCACTAAGCAGTTATTACAGAAAGGTCAAATTCAGTTTTGTAAGCACAACTAGCATTTAAAGGCTTTCAGCCACGCAACAAACACCCTTGGGAAGTTAGCACTTAGCATAGTGGGTTAAGCCGCCACCTTCAACACCAGTATCCTTTATCAGCATCTGTTTGAGTACTGGCTGCTCCACTTCCAGAACCAGCTCCCTGCTAATATGCTGGGGAAAGCAGTGCAAGACAGACCAAAGACTTGGGCCCCTGTACCCACATGGGAGACCTGGATGGAGTTCCAGACTCCTGGCTTTGGCCTGGCCCAGCCCTATCTGTTGCAGCCATATGGGGAGTGAACCAGCAGAGCGAAAGTCAGTCTGTTTGTCTGTCTGTGTTTCTCTCTCTCTCTCTCTCTCTCCCCCTCTATAACTGCTCCCTTCAAATAAATAAAATACTTTAAAAAAAAAAAAAAAAAAGAGACGTCACCAGTTAGCCCAAGTCTAGAAATGTTCACACAAAAGCAAACAGAATAGCACAGGCAGGATTTCTGCACAGACTAGAGTGATAGACTGCTTGACTTCTAAGAAATCTTTCAACTTTAAAATTCTGTGATCTTCCCTTGGTCTCACTTTACTCAGGAGTGGAGCCACAAAATTCATTCAGGTATTATGAATTCACTCAAGTTTTTTAGGACTCATCTGAAGCCACAAGAGCATCTGCCGTACACAGAATTGTTCTCAGTGGAGGGAGCATATTTTTAAACCCGTTATCAATCAGATGAAGATCACAGGCCCCTGCTCCTCACATACTGTGCCTGGGGCAGAATTCTCTCTATTGGCCCTTGCTCTGTCCCATGGCCATAGGTCTCTGGAAGAGAAGCATGAGGAAGTCCAGGCACAAAATCAGGACCAGGGTGTTAACAGCTGCTGTCCTTGATCATCGCTATTATCTGAGACAACAGGTTCCCCAAGAATGTAAAGTCACTGAGGGAGAAGTCTTACTCCCCGTTTTCTCTCCTAAGGACCTAAGACCTATTCTATTAGTATGTTGGGGGAATTATTTATCCTGAACTTTTTTTCTTTTTTAAGATTTATTTTTATTTATTTGACAAGTAGAATTACAGAGAGGACGAGAGAGAGAGAGAGAATCTTCCATCCCCAAATTCCCACAATGGCTAACACATTTAGGTCATCTTCCCCTGCTCTCTCAGGCACATTAGCAGGGAGCTGGATCAGAAGTGGAACAGCCTGGTCTTGAACTGGTGCCCACAAGGGATGCCGGCATCACAGGCAGAGCCTTAATCCACTACGCCACAGTGCCAGCCCCCTTGAACGGTTCTCAGTCAGCCTCATCCACTCTTGGTATTACTCAGTTTGTCCAAGGTTCAATGCGGATTATTTTCTGGAGAAGAAAGTAACAATCCTACCTCATCCTGGACATCGAGTTCTTCTTCAGCCAGTTCTGCGTCCATTAACTCAAGAGGGTCTTTACAGTCTTGGATGAGATTGATCTAGATAAAGGGAACACAAAGGGTTTACGGGAAACGTGATACGCTCAGCCTCTGGGAGACTCCCCGGAACAGGATCTGAAGATGTGCTGTTGTTTCTCAGCCACACTCTCCATGCTTCAGAATCCTCTGCAGCTCTGCCCTCTTCTGTCTCCCACCTCTGAATTGTCCCCATGCCATTCCCCACGCTGCGGTGTGGCGTTCTCCGTTGCGCAAACCCCTTTCCAGCTCTCTTCCCCTGCCTCTTAAGAGGTCAGCCCTCTGCCTAAGTGGCTCAGCACTTGAGAGGGCTTCTCTTTCAGCAGCGAAGCTGAGAGCACTTAGCAATAAGCACTCGGTGAATGCGCCACGAGGGGTTTGTGACTGATAACAATAACCTGTCGCACACTGAATTGGATGGAAATAAATTTTATTGGACATGGAAACCAACATCGATGAATCAAATTGTCAATTCAGGAAACTTGCACTTTTCGGAGCTAGTATGTAATTTAATCTTCCACACACGGGAAACTGCTAACAACATGGGCTTTGGCATATGCATGGAGAAGCACATTTCCAAAGCAATTTGTATATTAAGGCTAAAAGGATGCTTTGAAGTGCTACTTTGCTAATTTTCCTTACAAATAACCCAGTTCTCACTGCGGCGGTACCAATGGTCATGACATAATGGGAAAAGTACCGAGCAGGTGTAACTACACCTTGGGACTGTCGTGGGGTAGTCCTGTGATGGCAGATGATGGGGCAGGAACAGGGCCAAATCACTGCCTCACAATACCCATAAAACACCAGAGCCTCTTCCTGAAGAAAGGGAAAGTGCTTCTGTCTTAACGTGGGGTCTTTTTAAAGATACAGTATATCCTTTTGCTTATTGTTTTTACCTGTGCTTCACAGAGCTTTAAGCTGGATAGAACACGTTCTTGAGTTTTCAGAGATGAAATGAGTTTTCAGAGATTGCATGAGCCATTTTATTTTAAAGATCTGTGATTTTACTACTTCGTTCTTTTGTATGACCTACACCTTGTATCTAGGATGAGTGTTTGCCCCAGGAACATTAGGCAGAACAACCTTTCCACCAACAGTCACTGAAAAGAATAATGTAGTTTGGTTTTCTAACTTAGTTTTATTTCACATACCAACTTCCAATCTATTATAAGGATCTACTCATCCTATTTTTTTATAAAGGAAAGAAATTTAAAATATAACAAAATAATACAAAATATAATATACTGATTCACTAAAACAATAACTGTTATTACATTTTATAGATGCTTCCTTCAGTTCCCTAAATTCACTGTGAGAAGGTCCACCAGAAATGAGGTTTTTATCCTGGGTCCATCAGTATTTCTACCCTAAATGTCTTCTGAGTGTTTGATAGGAGAACTGATAAAATAAGATCTAGAAGATAGCAGGGTCTAGTCTATTTTGTAGGGTAGAAAATAGCCCTGGGATTATTCAAAGATTTAATTTTCTTTTCCAGTGAATCACCCATAGCCTGATGAATCCTATTCAAAGACACCTATAGGGGCCAGTGTTGTTGCACACTGAGTTAAGCTGCTTGAAATGCCCGCAGCCCATACTGCAGCACATTTCAAGTGCCAGCTGTTCTACTCCCAGTTCAGCTCCCTGCCTGGCAAAACAGTAGAAAGTTGCCCAAGTGCTAGGGACCCTGCCACTCACATGGGACACACCCTGCTGGAGTTCCAGGCTCCTGGCTTTGGCTTGGCCCAGCCCTGGCCATTGCAGCCACTTAGGGAGTGAACCAGTGGATAGATCGCACTCTCTCTGCCTTTTTTTTTTTTTTTTTTTTTTTTTTGACAGGCAGAGTGGACAGTGAGAGAGAAAGACAGACAGAAAGGTCTTCCTTTTGCCGTTGGTTCACCCTCCAATGGCCGCTGCGGCCGGTGCACTGTGGCTGATCCAAAGGCAGGAGCCAGGTGCTTCTCCTGGTCTCCCATGGGGTGCAGGGCCCAAGCACTTGGGCCATCCTCCACTGCACTCCCGGGCCACAGCAGAGAGCTGGCCTGGAAGGGGGGCAACCGGGACAGAATCTGGCGCCCCGACCGGGACTAGAACCCGGTGTGCCGGCGCCGCTAGGTGGAGGATTAGCCTATTGAGCCACAGCGCCGGCCATCTGCCTTTCAAATAAATAAACAAATAAATATTTTTAAAGGGTTGATCTAGTTGTTATGAAAACTGATTATATGGAAAAAGTAAAACAAAAATACACTCATTATTCAAGGGTTTCCAGAGTCCTGAAAACTTAAGTCACATTTATGTACACAAATTACAGAAGATCCACGATTCAGGGCTATATTCCACAGATACCATAGCTCATGCCCATTTGCGTAGTAGACTTTAACATTGTAGAGTTATTTTGTAGCAGCTACTATCAAAAGCTTGTTATCGCCGGCGCCGCGGCTCACTAGGCCGGCCGCGGCGGCCATTAGAGGGTGAACCAACAGCAAAAGAAGACCTTTCTCTCTGTCTCTCTCTCTCACTGTCCACTCTGCCTGTCAAAAAAAATAAAAAAAAAGAGAAAAAAAAGGCAAGCTTGTTATCAACTATCTTGTTTAGTCCTCACATCACCCAGCAAGAGTAATGGTGTTACTCTCCTTTTACTGACAAAGTAAGTGGGGCTCCCGGAAGTTGTGCAGATGGCCCGAAAGCCAATAGCTCACTGGGATCCAAACCAAGGCTTGTGTCATTTTTTCCATTTACAGAAATCACAGTAGTTTCGGAAAGTTACCTAGAGAAAGGTTAAGTATTTACCGTTTCTAGAATGGAGTCTTCACCCTTTGTGGATTTCACCTGGTTCTGCAGATAGAGGATAGCGTCGTGGACAGTCAAAAAGAAGGTGTCCTTCCTGTGATGGTCATCAAAGAAGCCACAGTGCTCCAGCTTTTCCATCACGTGATCTTCAAAAGAAAGGGATAATGCTGGGTCGGTCTCTAGAAAATGTGCTTTTGTCACTGTTTTCGTAGCTGCTCCTTTTGACTTTTTTTTTTTTCCCCTTCTCATTTCCAAACTGTGACCCTGCTCCAAACTGAGTAACTGAGGTTCTTTTCTAGTAGCACACAGCATGGACACCCCTTGACTGGTTACAGTAGATGGCCTTGGTGCCCAGCATGTCCTTGGTCAATGGGAGCTGTCACATCTGAAGGGGACTGGGAGGCTACATCCCCCACAAGGGTGGCCTGAGTCACTGAGTGACTGATGTGGGGGTAGGAAGGCGGACTCCCTGGAAAGCAGAATGTGAGGTGAGACTTCTGACACCCCATCTTTGCCCAGCCTTGTCCCCTCTCTCCTTCATGAATTTGTCTGGCTGTACTCATGCAGTAAGTCACTATGCAAGAGTCTCAGGTGCTGCCTCTGCACAACAGTCTAAGCACCAGCACGTCCCTGCACGCACCAGCCACGCACAGACCCAGAGACGCACGTCCTTGAGAATCCCCTTGATCTCAGGCATCTCCAGCTCTGCCTCCCCACAGTTCTTCCCCGCACTGATCCTGCACCACTGCCAGGACTTAAGTCTCTGTACACCACCAACTCAGCAGCACACACTGGACGTAATAACTTGCTGGATCCAGAAATGTCCTCAGAGTTATTGCAGAGTTGGTACACAGTTTGTGTGTGGTAATGAAACATTTTGGAAATGGGTAATGGCCGATGATCGCACAGCATTGTGAATCTAAGTAATGCCACTAAATCAATCAATCAGCACTTAAAAGTGAATAAAATGGCAACTTTATGCTATATGTATTTTTACCATAATTTTTTAAATAACTTAAAAAAAAGGCCTCAGGGCTGGCGCTGTGACACAGTAGGCTAAGCCTCCAGCATTTAGCACCAGAATCACAGACGGGCGCCAGTTTATGTCTTGGCTGCTCCACTCTGATCCAGCTCCCTGCTAATGCACCTGTGAAAGCAGTAAAACACAGCCCAAGTGCTTGGGCCCCTGCACCCACATGGGAGACCTGGAAGAAGTCCCTGGCTCCTGGCTTCCCAGCTCCAGCCATTGCTGCCTTTTGGGGAGTACACCAGCAGATGGAAAACCTTTCTCTCTCTCTCTAACTATAACTCTCAAATAAATAAATAAAAAATTTTTAAAAAGGCCTTTAGTCAATATATGCCTATAAGGTAGGATAAAAAGCTTAGAGGAAAATCTTACACATAGAAATGTATGTATCCATATATGCATTTACCTTGAAGTGATGCAAAGTATACATTCACATTAATTCTTTGGAATTCTTTGACAATCTAAAAATGAAAAAAGGGAAATGTGTTAAAATGAACAACCTATCTGTACATGATTCAGTAGCATTTGATTATTTACCTAGGAGTTATGTCAACACTTTGATGGTCAATCAGAACTTTGAGGAAAGTTAACTGTTGGAAAACCGTAGAGGTGATGATTAGGGGTGAAAAGACCATCTTGCCAGAGAGGGCAGCTTCCTGCTCAGTTACACAGCACCCTACCACAGAAGTGCCCAAGAAACATTGTGGGCTGGCGTGGTGGCATGGTGGGTTAACGTAGCCAATGACTCCAGCAACCCATTTAGGAGCACAGATTCCCAGCTGCTAAGCTTCTGATACAGTTCCCTGCTAATGCACCTGGGAAAGCAGTGGAAGATGGCCCAAGTATTCGGGACTTGCCACCCACGTCGGGAGACCCATATGGAGCTCTGGGCTCCTGGCTTTGGCCTGAACTAGCCCTGGCCATTGCAGCCATTCGGAGAGTGAACCAGAGGATAGAAGGTATCACTTTCTCTCTCTCTCTCTCATCCTCTTTCTATCACTCTGCCTTTCAAAAATAAATAAATGATTTTTTTTAAATGAAATACTTGTGGAAGGAAGGGAAGAAGGGAGTACAGGGTTATCTAGTTAGTCCCTGTTGATTGGAGAAGAGAACATAATTTTATGTCTTTGAGTGGGAGAACTACAGGTGTGGAGATTACCGTAAGAATCAAAATGTAGACCTCAAAGTCAAGGCCTCGATTTTGAATGCATCAGTGTCAGAGCCCTGATGGTGGTTTTGTACTGCAGTTTTATAAGATGTAACAGTTGGGAGAAAGTCAGTTGAGAAATATGTGGGCTCTCGATGATTCCTTACACCTGCATGTGAATCTACAATTATCTCAAAGGAGTTTAATTTTAAAACATCAAGGCATAAGACCTATGGACAATAAAACAGAACTTGAAATTTGTGGAGGAAAACAAATCAAGACCTCCACTTAAGTATAAGATTTGGAGATGTCTTTAGTTTTTCCGACTGCTGATATCATATCTGAAAGCCAAGACTTTAACTATGGAAAACAGCCTGGAATTCAATGTTACAATTGTTGGGGCTGGCACTGTGGTGTAGCGAGTAAGGCTGCTGCCTGCAGTGCCGGCATCACATATGGGCACTAGTTCAAGTCTCAGCTGCTCCACTTCCGATCCAGCTCTCTGCTGTGGCCTGGGAAAGCAGTGGAGGATGGCCCAAGTCCTTGGGTCCCTGCACCCATGTGGCAGACCAGGAGGAAGCTCCCAGCTCCTGGCTCCAGATCCGCACAATTCTGGCCATTGAGGCCATCTGGGGATTGAACGAGCAGATGGAAGATCTGATTTCTCCTCTCCTCTCCTCTCCTCTCCTCTCCTCTCCTCTCCTCTCCTCTCCTCTCCTCTCCTCTCCTTTCCTCTCCTCTCTCTTCTCCTAACCTCCTCCCACTCCCCCCTCCCCTCCCTTCCCCTCCTCTTCTCTCTCTCTCTCTCTCTCTCTGCCTTTCTGTAACTCTGCCTTCCTGGAATCATTTCTTGTTCTTACAGAGGTAGCCAAGAAGCCTCCAGTTAGGCTAAGCCTCAGTGAGGAGTCAGTGTCTCATTATGATCATTACATTTCGTTGTTGGTACCTTAAGCCTGCTTACTTTTCTGTTTGACTCTCTTGATACCCAGTAGAAGCTTCACCTTGAACTTGACACTTTAGATGACATCTCTTTAAAGTCTGCTTTTGGAGACTGGCATTGTGGCTTAGTAAGTTAAGCATCTGCCTGCAGCACTGCCATCCCATATGGGTGCCGGTTCATGTCCCAGCCAGTTCATGTTGCATGGAAGACATCTGGTTCACTCCCCAAGTGGCCACAATGGCCAGAGCTGGGCCAATCCAAAGCCAGGAGCTTCCTCTGGATCTCCCATGCAGGTGCAGGGGCCCAGCACTTGGGCCATCTTCCACTGCTTTCCCAGGTGCATCAGTAGGGAGCTGGATCACAAGTGGAACAGCCAGGACTTGAACTAGTGTCCATAAGGGATGCCAGCTCTACAAGCAGGGGCTTTAACCCACTATACCACAGTGCTACCCCAATAAAATCTTTAAAAACAAAAAAGTTTGCTTTGGAGCATTGAATATAGTTGTTATTTATAATACTAACATCTGCCTTCTTCAGACTGCTTTTAGCCCCATGAAGGTGGAAACTGTGTGACACTTCAACAGCCTCTTGTGGCCTACCAGAGTGCTTAGCATGAATTAGACATTTCATATCTATTTGTTGAGAGAATTAATAAACTTGAGCTTATATAGCTGGCTTCTGGCATCAGGAACGTTTGTGTCTACATGCTCCTCACTTCTTGCCTGGACTTCACAATGTCTCCTGCTCTACCTTAATAATACCTGGCTTTTCCAGTCCTACCATGTACGTGGTATTCTTTATCCTGCTGCCATTTATGTAACAAACAAATAAAGGACTTTTGCACACTTTTTCCTTCTTTTTCTATTCCATTTACTATATATACTTCTCAGAAAAAAAGAAAAACAATACTAATACTTTGGAGGGGTATCTATGAGCCAGACACTCTTCTAAATCCCTTGTATCTATTAGCTATCTAGTATCTTTATCATCATAACAACTCTATGGAGTAGCTATCATTATCATCCCATGTTGTGGATGAAGAATTTGAGGCATAGATGAAACAGCTTGTCCATGGTCACCCTGCAAGTGCATGGTAAAGCCAGGATGCACCCCAGGTAGCCTGGCTCCACCCAGCGCCTCTGCTTTAAAACATTACCCTCTATTACAAAGCATCCATACCACAAAGCCCATGCACTTGTTCTCTTGCCAGACTGGACAGCCTGTTCACTTCACTTAACACCAAAGCTCCACAGCAAAAAACCAGAACCTTACCACTCGCAATGACCTCACTCCCACAACGTCCAGGAAAGAGATAGCTCCACAGTCAAGCACGAGGCTGTGGATTGGCACTTTGGGAACATTCACTTTGACTGGAAGCTCAGAGTTCCAATCCACTTGAATCTCAATCTCCTTGGTTGGGACATCAAGTTCTTCCAAATCTTCAATATCTTCATCTGTCTCGAAAGCAGCATTGGGTGAACCAGCATCACTTATGATACCATTCTAAAGAAAGAGAACATGGCCAACTTAACTGCCAATGACTTGGAATGTCTTTCAACCATTCATCTCAAATTATTTAAAAGTCCTACACATACTATTTTTATTTTTAAAAAAAGATTTGTTTTATTCAAAAGGCGGAGTTATAGAGAGAAGGAGAGACAGAGAGAGAGAAAGATCTTCCATCTGCTGGTTCACTCCCCAAATGGCTGCCAACAGCTAGAGCTGGGCCAATCCAAAGCCAGGAGCCAGGAGGTTCTTCCAGGTCTCCCACATGGGTGCAGGGGCCCAAGCACTTGGGCCATCTTCCACTGCTTTCCCAGGCACATTAGCAAGAAGCTAGATTGGAACTGGAGCATCCGGGACATGAGGCAGCACCCATATGCAATGCAGGTGCCACAGGTGGCGGCATAACCTGCTATGCCACAGCACCAGCCCCCACATATTGTTTCTTGATGAGCAAAACATCAAGGGCACGAACTCTTCAGCCCAAACACTGATGTTCTCTATTGGGGAAAATCCAGGAACAGAGGAGACAGGAAACTTGATTTCTGGAAAACTGTGGGGTTTTGCCAATAAATACATTGATAAGAAAGCCAGAGTAAAAGTTAATAGCTCTAAAAGTTTATGAACTTACTGCCTTCCATTGGGAGTGATTTGCTGGCACTAAATTAAGACCTACTTTGTCTCTTTCAGTAAACACAAAAGATAATCCAGATGTCATTCAGGATAGAAAAAGCATCCCACCCTGTGTTTCCGGGGAGCTCTGTTGATTTTATTTTATTCCCTCCCATTCCTCTTGCCGACAAGAATAGCTCAGCTCTGACACACATATGTCATCTGCTTGTACACATCTGGATACCAAAGGGAATAGATTTCATTTTAGACCAGCCAACTGCTCTCATCAGAGAAAAGAAAGAATTGGGGGGGGGGGATGCTATTTCCTCACCTTTGTTGCCCTTAATTGTCCTTTTTTGATGAGTTTCTGTATTCTCCTCAGCGCTTTCAGTCTCTTATTATATACTCGAATGGCGTCAAATCCAACCTTTGGAAATAAATGTCAGGTTACCTAACACGTCTGGTTCCTAATGCTCATTAATGGCGATTGTTATCTGGAAAGGTTATTTCTCAAAGGATATTATCCCTTGAGACATCCTGCCAAACAACAGACCGCGAGGCCCGATGCAGCAGATCCATCTCCTCTATTGGACTATCTACCCCCACCAGACTCAGGGAAAGGCTCCCGGAGAGTCAAGGACAAAAAACAGCAAAGGATAACCTCTTTCAGTCCATGTTTTCCGGCTGTCCTGGATGTCACAGAGCCCTTCTGTTATGGAAAAATCCATGAACACTCCTCTGAACCAGTTTGCCTGAGAGCTGGGACTGATCTAGGGGCAAACACCTAGTCTGGAGCATGGTAGGGCACTCCAGCTGCGAAAAGCCTCCTTACACATCCTACTAGTTCTTACTCCTCTATCCCAATTGAGCAACACCCCACCACCACCCCACACACCAACACATTTTCCCACCTTCTCCTCCCAGCTCACAATCTCCTTCCTCCTGCCAACTGCCACACACAGTCTTGTTTAGTAGAACTAACAGAGATCTTTCCCTTCTAAAAAGTCCTAACACTGTCTCTACTACTCACCTGGTCCTCACCTACTTATTTATTCAAACTCTGGCATAGCTACTGCTACCTGGATTTGATAAAAAAAAAAATGTGTCTTTTCTGTACTCAAAGAGAGTGTCAGTTTTTTGAAGGAAAAGATGCTATGATCTAATTCTTAATTCCTACAGAAAGGGAACAAGGCAAAGAGCCTGATTCAAGGTTGGAGCTCAATAAATTCCAGGGGTGAAATACTTACTGTGGACTTGATGCATTTTTTAAAACCATCGACATTGGCATAAAAAATAGGACTAGAATATCTAAGAATCTTCACTCCTTCAGGTTCTTCAATCTAAGAAAAAAGTTGAAGTTAAATGATTTCAGGCATGGAATGCATGAAATCTGTTCTTTTTATAGTAATAAAAATAATAATACTAAGAAAGAAAAAAAATAAGTTTAGGCTTCTAATATTCAGTTTGATTTCTGGCTATTTGGCAAGGAGCCAGTTCACAGGTAGCTAGAGGAGCTGGGGAGCACACAGGAACTCCACACTGGTTGGGAGGACAACAGGTTACCATAACTCTTGGACCCCCATGGTCCCATAGGGGGTGAAAGTTAGAAAGGCTTAGAAAGCAACTGCTCAACCCTCTAACTTCCAGATACAGAAACTGAAGCTTTGAACGCTAACATGATTGGCCTCAAGTTCGTACCATCGATCCTCTTGACTTTGCTAAAAGTAGAAAAATCAAGGGGGATTTGGGAGAACTGAGGTCTGTGGTGTCAGTTCTTGGTTCCCACCTGATCAAAAATGGCTATCCCACAAGTAGAACCCTTGGAATGACAGCAGGGACTTCCGACTCTCTGGGGTTTGTGGCCATTTTAGTCTAGCTCTGCAAATGAGGAAACTGACACTCTGAGAGACCAGGGACTTGAGCAAGGTGCACATAACAGAAAAACTGTGGCAATCAATTTAGTAGCTGTGACTGGAATTCTAGGTTCAGTGATCATCTTTTTTTGGTTTGGTTTGGTTTTGTTCTTCATGTTAAGATAAAATTAGACTACAACTTCCTGGAGTTCACATTCGATTCTTTTTGTTTGTGTTTTCTAAATTTCTGTTTTCTTAATTTACTTTCTTTGCCTTTTCATCTTTGTTTCCCCTCAGCGGTCACTCAGCATTTTTATTTGCAGACAACACACTCCCATCAGTGGGATGTTTAAGTTCTTTGATTTTCATTTCCTGTATTAAGTGTCATTTCTTCCCAATCCACAAATAAAGCAAAATGTCAAAGAAGATCTTGGTGACTGAGAACTTGAAAACCTCTTCTTAGAGCTGACTGAAGAAAATCTTTCAGGGATTTCAAGCAAATTCATGAGGGATAAGGATTATATAGGCGAAAAATAAAATTTTGATTGAAAATCTAGAAGCAATCTAATTGCCTATTATTTAAAAAATCTCCCTTACAATGGTTTTACAGTAAGATCATATTTCAGTAGCATGGACAAAATTCCCATCCACCATGGACATTAGTTTTTGTGATTCTCCTGCTGGCCTCATGGATGTCCACCACATAAATCTCTCCCTTTGGCTGCTTCCTACCTAACACAGGAAAGGGGAAATGGGCAACTCCCCCAATGCCAGGCTAGCGAATCCAAGCCCAGCACACATCTCAGACAGGCACTTACGTTTTTGTAATCCTTGGTACTTTTGTAGATGTCTGTGCTAGGGATGCTTCCAAGACTATTCCATGAAGGGCTAAAAGAAGAAAAATCAAGGTCGCGATTTGCTAAACAGTCATCTCTGGAATCAACAAGTTAAAAAGTGCTAACAGCTACTCCTGAGCCCCTCATTCTGGTGTGTTGGGCTCTTGTCTTTAGTGCAGGTGACATTTTCCCGTCGCCAACTCTGAAATGAATAGCTCGCATTTGCATGGCACTGAGGGAGAAGAGTGGACAGCCGCTGTCTCCTGGGGGCTGAGATATAATGAGCGTCACACTTTGCAGGATAAGCAAAGAGCTTGCCCACGTGCTACAGCTTACTGAAGCCACTCCAGACCGCCTGAGAAGCCAGCCTTGTTAACCTCACTTGTTCTGGGGAGTAAACCGAGTTTCAGAGATGTTAGGCATGACCAAGAGGTAAAGATCAGCACCCTAAACTCAGGGGTCCTCAGCACCTCGCTCTCACTTGTCAATTAAAGCAACTCGATGCTGAGGTGTAGGAAGTTGATAGGGGACCAAATGAGTCTCTTTATATAGAAATACAAGCTTGGGAGGGCCAGAAATAAGTCCCTTCCTGCCAACCAGATTGTAGACTTCCTGTCCCCGATGCAATCAGACAAATTCCATGTTTCTCCAAGTGTGACTGGGGACATATGCCCCATACAATTCCTGAAGAAAGACGATCTGTTTGGGGTCCTTTCAGCATTGTGCTCTACGGTCCAACACTATAATTACTGGAAATTAAATACTGTGTGGAGGACACTGCTTTCTGTTGGCTAAAAGCCCAGTTACCAAACCAGCAGCTAAATCGTGCCACCAGTTTCACCTTAGCTTGCTACTTGGTGCTGATTTTGAACTTCATGCTCTTAAGCGAGTCTCCCCTTACAGAATGCTCCCATCCCAAGTGCACTCCCAAGACAAAGCAGACATGGAGGCCAATACAGCACAAGAGGCAGCAGCTTCTAAGGACAGTTTCTGAGTCATTGCCTGGCAGCAAACTGGGCACACTGGGAGTCTGTAAAGTCTTTCAGGCCCCTGGACAACTGTTTAGGATGTTGAGGGAGAAACAAGCCTTTGTGTGAGCACCAGGTTGCCCAGGGAGGGGAGGAGGGCAGGGAGGAGGACTACTGGGGAAGCGGAGGTGAACCTTCACTGAGCTGGGGCCCTCTGTGCAGGTGCTCCTGCAAGTTTCTTTCTTCATGGCCTAAATGCTCAAGAGGATGGGGCCAGCGTTGTAGCCCAGCAGGTTAAGCCACCCCTACAATGCCCGCATCCCATACTGCAGCAATGGTCAAGTCCTTGTTGCTCTGCATCAGATCCAGCTCCCTGCTAATGTGCCTGGGAAGACAGTGGAAGATGGCCCAAGTGCTTGTGCCCCTGCCACCCACATGGGAGACCTGGAAGAAGCTCCTGGCTCCTGGCTTCAGTGTGGCCCAGACATGGCTATTGGTTATTTGGGGAGTGAACCAATGGATGGAAGACCTCTGTCTCTCTTTCTCTCTCATCACTCTACCTTTCAAATAAAATTTTAAAGATCAATGTTTAAAACTTCAAAGGGGCCGGCACCGCAGCTCACTAGGCTAATCCTCCGCCTTGCGGCGCCGGCACACCGGGTTCTAGTCCCGGTCGGGGCACCGGATTCTGTCCCGGTTGCCCCTCTTCCAGGCCAGCTCTCTGCTGTGGCCAGGGAGTGCAGTGGAGGATGGCCCGAGTGCTTGGGCCCTGCACCCCATGGGAGACCAGGATAAGTACCTGGCTCCTGCCATCGGATCAGCGCGGTGCGCTGGCCGTAGCAGCCATTGGAGGGTGAATCAATGGCAAAAGGAAGACCTTTCTCTCTGTCTCTCTCTCTCTCTCTCACTGTCCACTCTCCCTGTCAAAAAAAAAAAAAAAAAAAAAAAAAAAAAAAAAAAAAACTTCAAAGGGACTAGAAGTCTGGAAAGACCACAAAGAGGTGGGGGATGAAGAGCGAGAGACAAGTTTTGTTCTCCTCTAGGCCAAGGAGGACACATCACCACATCAAGACAAAATCAACGGACAAGCACACCTTCGAGGTCCCTCCCCTTCCTCCTTTCCATTGCTTGAACTGTTTCTTTACTGCTCTCTCTCTCTGCCCATGAGCAAATGGTGTTTCTGTCGCCTAACCATGTAGTATATGGGGTATACATCTTATTTGACAGGGCTGGGTGAATACTGACTGTAAGCAAGTTCTCCCGTTCCAAGTGGTGTAACTTTTGGGTGATGAGCTTCAAAAAAAGAAAATTAACTACAGATGGAATATCTCTAATCCGGAAGGGCTGGGACCAGAAGTGTTTCAGATTTCACAATATTTGCACAGATTCTACCAGTTGAACATCCCTATTTGAAAATGCAGAATGTAAAAGTCTCAAAAATCAGAGAACTGTGGAGCCTGCTGTCAGCACGCAAAAAGTTTCCAAGTTCGGATTTTTGGATTAGGGATGCTCAGCCTGTACAATGTGTTCAGCAGCTGTCTTGTCTAGCTCAAATCTTGGGCTCAGGCCTCATATACTTCATTTCATTTAAGAAAGAAACTGTAAAGAGAAGATCAGTCTTTGAACCATGTATCTTTTAGTTTTAGAGTATGGAGTGCACTGGTTACGGGGTAAAATACCTCCGGGTGCTAATCTTAGCTTTGCCACTTCCTAGCACTGTGACTAAGGAGAAGATTCTTAACTTTTCTGAGCTTCAGTTTCCTCACCTGTAGAATGGGAACCATCAAGTGCATTCATGGGATCTTTTGGAAGAGTGGTCTTTGTAAGGTCTGTAACACACCATGTGTTTAATTCACAGACTCTCTCCATATACAGTAACTATTATGCGCGGAAGTAGTTTCGCTGTATCAAGACAGCATAAGAAAGCTCAGGGTGTGTCATCGTGTTCAAAGGAAATCTGGGTTTTCTGTTACTCACAACTGAACTCTCAGGACCACGGTGAACAGTGCAAATACCAGGCCAGCCAGTAAACCAAGGTCCAGCCCCAGAATAATGGACACTACACACGTAAATACCCAGATAACCTAGAAATGAAAAGGACACAAAAGGTACCATTAGGTAAGCAGACTACCTACAGATATAAGATCAATTAATAGAATATAATTACAATAGCAACAGCTAAATTAACAACAAATAAATCACGGCTTTTTCCAAATTTTCTAATTTCATTCATTTCATATTTAAGCACAGGGGGAGACTAGCCTTCTCAATGAAGACTCACTGTATTCCCAAGTAAGACTAAGTGTTCTGGGGCTGCCACTGGGCAGAGCAGGAAAAGCACCACCTGCAGTGCCAGCATCCCATATGGGCGCCGGTTCGAGTCTAGGCTGCTCCACTTCTGATCCAGCCCTCTGCTGTGGCCTGGGAAAGCAGTAGAGGATGCCCAAGTTCTTGGGCCCCTGCACCGACATGGGAGACCCAGAAGAAGCTCCTGGCTCCAGGCTCCTGATTGCAGCTCTGGCTACTGCAGCCAATTGGGGAGTGAACCAGCAGATGGAAGACCTCTCTCTCTCTCTCTCTCTTTCTCTCCTCTCTCTCTCTGCCTCTCCTTCTCTCTCTGTGTAACTCTTTCAAATCAATAAATAAATATTAAAAAAAAATAAAAAAGACTAAGTGTTCCACTTTGTTTTTTAAATTTTTAAATAATATACTAACAAGGTTCAAAGAGAATATTTCAAAGATGTACAGTAAAAAAAACTCACTCACATCCTCTCCTTTCTCCAGTCTCTCTCTGCTTTCCTAATTGTATCCTCTTTCCTCCATTTCTTTGTTTTCTTCCTCTTTTTTTCTTTTCTTTGTTAAACACTATTTATTCACTTAAAGGTTTTTATTACTTGAGAGGTAGAGTTACAGACAGAGAAAGGGAGAGAGAACAAGAGAAAGATCTTCCATCCTCTGGTTCACTCCCCAAATGGCTGCAATGGCCACAGCTGGGCAGATCTGAAACCAGGAGCCAGGAGTTTCCTCTGGGTCTCCTATGTGGGTGCAGGGGCCCAAGCACTTGGGCCATCCTCTGCTCCTTCCCCAGTCCATAGCAGAGAGATGGATCGGGAAGAGCAGCATCCAGAACTTAAACAGGTGCCCATAAGGGACGCTAGTTCCACAGGCGGAAGCTTAACCTACTGCGTCACAGCTCCAGCCCCTCTTTTTTTCTTTTTTGCAAGAGCACAAAGAGAGAGAAACTTCCATCTGCTGATTCGCTTCTCATATACCCCAAACAACAAGGGCAGGGCTGCAATCAAAGCCCGGAACTGGGAACTGAATCCAAGTCTCTTGGCCGGGGCTGTAGCGTAGCAGGTAAAGCTGCCATCTGTAGTGCCGGCATCCCATGTGGGTGCCGGTTCATGTCCCAGCTGCTCCACTTCTGATCCAGCTCTCAGCTATGGCCTGGGAAAGCAGTAGAAGATGGCTCAAGTCCTTGGGCCCCTGCACCTGTGTGGGAGACCCAGAGGAAGCTCCTGGCTCCTGGCTTCAGATCAGCGCAGCTCTGGCCATTGCGGTCATTTGGGGAGTGAACCATCAGATGGAAGACCTTTCTCTCTCTCTGCCTCTCATTCTCTCTGTGCGTAACTCTGACTTTCAAATAAATAAATAAATCTTAAAAAAAAAAAAAGTCCAAGTCTCCCACATGGGTTGCAGGGACCCAAGTACTTTAGCTATACCTGCTGACTCCCAGAATGCGCATTAGCAGGATCAAGAATCAGAGCCTGGAATCCATCCCAGCTACTCCGAAGTGGGACACAGGTCCCTTAACTGCTAGACCAAATTTCAGACCCCCTCACCCCACCCTGCCTTATTTCTCTTTCCCTGTCTCTCCTATTCTCTCATTGTGTGTACTCTTTCCCAATAGTCTGGTCTCTTTTTCATTAAACACTTTGTTTTGGAGATCTTTCCGTATCAGTATCTTTGCCTACCTTTTTATCTTTTTTCCCCATTCTTTTTATCTGTCCCAGCTTAAGTTAGAATATAACTCTATAGGAGTTATCTTATAACTTTTATAATTCCTCACATTAGTTGTGAAGGTTACCATAGTAACAACATTGGCATAGGTTTCTGTGACTTCACTCTGTGTGTGTGTGTGGTTTTGTGTATTGTTTATCGTTTTAAACTAGGGTTTTAAAGAAAATGGGTTTGGTTTTTTTGACTTTATAAAGCCAAATGTGTATGAATGAGCCTTTTGTGGGATTCTTGGCAGAAGTGATCTTGCAAAAAGATATTCCAAAAAGATCGAGGATCTTGGGACCGGTGTTGTGGCTTAGGAGGTCAACTGCCACCTGCAATACCAGCATCCCATATGAGAATCTGTTCAACTCTCAGGCACTCCATTTAGGATCCAGCTCCCTGCTAACGCACCTGGGAAAGCAAACAGATGATGGCTCAAGCACTCACACCCCTGCCACCCATGTGGAATGAAGGTCCAATCTCCTGGCTTTAGCATGGCCCAGCCTTGACCACTGTGGACATTTGGGGAGTAAACCAACAGATCACAGATCTCTCTCTCTCTCCCTCTCTCTCCCTCTCTCCCTCTCTGTAACTCTACCTTTCAAATAAATAAAATTAAAAAAAACAAAAACAAAAACAAAAAAACTCCAGGATCTTCCCAAATCCAGTTCACATGGAGGGATCATAACTTTGGTTGATCCACACGATTCTAACTTCTGCTCTGATGTTACCCAAGCGCAAGTATGCCTTAGGAGGTAGAAGGACATAAGGATATGACAGGAAGCATATGAGAACCAACTGCTATTTCAGAGAAAGCGGATGGCGGGCGACTTACAGCATCGACCTTATTCTGCCTCCACAGACGAGGAACGTCACACACCTGCATAAACATCCCTTTCAGGTTGGCAATGACAACAGCTGCCAAGACCGACTGTTGGGAGAGACAGGGAGGGCTGTGTTATTCAGGAGAATGGTTTCTCCAGAGGATGATTTTTAAATCTCCTGTAATTTCTCTGGCGGCAGAGGAGTGGCTGGAGATTATGCAACCAGGGCATAAAGAGAAGCAGGGCTGTACCTTCTGCAAGGGTTCCAGAAGCTTCCCCAGGGCAACAATGGCGATCATCACAATCCCAGCCGATATGATGCCAGCGACCTGAAAGACACACACCTGTCAGGGCGGCGGGCCATCTTCCCGGTCTGCGTCTCCCAGCTGGCCACCTGTGAGCTGAGAGTGAGAACATTCACAGGTACACGAATGCTTCCCCACCTCCCACACTTCTGCTCAACACCATTGAGAGAAATGGGCATGATCTGCAAAAATTCCACCAAACTGAACAAAAATGCAATATGTAATAGAAGACAAATTAAACAAAAAAAAATGGCAAATAAGATCACCCAAGTAAAGCCAGGTGGATGTGGATTTCATGAGGCTATGTTACACACCTACAGCTTTGCTGCCAATTCAGGTGGCCAGTCTTCTAAGTCATTGCCCTTCCCCCAAACAGCGATGGCTGCCGTATTCTTGGGAAATAAGTTCTGGGGTCTTCTGCATGCTGGGAGCAGCTGCCACAAGAGCAACTCCGACACACGCTCGTACGCACAGCACAAGGTGCCCAGGGACGCCTCAGGGAAGACCAGTGCTCCCAACCCACTGCCAATTCAAAATGCAAACACTGGTGCATGGAGCAATGGGGCGGGGCCTCCTACTTCTCTGACAGTCCCAGGGACCCAGGCTCAGAGCTTGGCCCCAAGTTGCTATAGAGTGGTGACAGTACAAGGGCTAAAAAGAAGGTTCCACATTTTTACCTTTGCAGGCAAGAAAAGAAAAAAATAAAACGCTCCTAATATCCAGAAGTAGTGAGTAGAGGGGCTGAGGGGTAGGGACTATTCTGTGGTTTCATGAGATGACCTGTGAATTTTCTGTCGAGAACGCCAGGGCCTGGCTGAGGTGACGACTAGAAGCTCTGAAACAGAGGAGAAAAGGAGAAAGAGAGGCAGAAGCAATGTGATCAGACAGGGAGCAACAGGCAAGGAGTCAGATACAGCAAACAGAAACAGGAAACGAGAACCACAGAGGAAATAAAGTACTCACCCAGCTGGAGAACTGGTCACTGATGTCCAGATTACAGCTGGGTCGGCTTGAGGCCACATTACATTTGGAATGTACTAAAAAGCTTGCTTTGAATGTCTAACTCCTTTTCAACACCCTTCCTAGCAGCACTGGCCCACTGTTCCAGGTTCCCTACCCTGGTGAATTTTCCCCTCTTCTATACAAGTTGAAAAATATCCGTGTTTGTCTCCATAGATCCAGGCAACTATCTAATCAGTGTTTATTGATCCATTGGCATCTCACTGTGAACTGAAGTCAGATATGGAGATTTGGAGACAAGGATCACAATCGATTCCCCAGCAGAGGCCAGAGAGGGGCCACCTACTCATCAAGCCGATGGTAAGTGTGGGGAACAACTGGGAGCAACTCGGACTAGACTAAGTTACTGGAATTAAGACTTATTCTATGCATCTGCTCTCCCACAATATGGCGCTGAGAAAGGAGGAAACAGCTTCTACACAGCTGCCTCCAGTTCAACCAATAAACTGTAGGACCTGCTCCTGATTGGAGGAGAGCAGCGTACTCAGCGTGTGGGTAGCAGAGTTGGGATTGGTGGAAGAGGACTATAAAGGAGGAGAGAGACAACATGCACCAGGAACATCTAAGGGGAACATCTGAAGGAACACCTGAGCAGCCCCTGAGAGCCGGCCAGCGGTGTGCCGCTCCCCCGTGGAAGTGGGGAAAGTGGCAGGGGGAACCGCCCTTCCACGGAGGTGGAAGGGTCGGTAGCCAACCCGGGAAGAACCAGCACAAACCCGGGGAGGGCCGAGCAGACGAAAGAACAGCGCAGGGTCCTGTGTCGTTCCTCCACGAAGACGGGGAGCGACAGTAAGTATAATTCGGGAAGGACCAAGGAGACATCCATCACGATGGTCGAATCCGCGAGGGATCCCTTGCTGGGACTTACTTCAGAAGGCTGGTTTGTGGGAAACCCAGAGCCTGTATATCCCTGGGTAGCCTCAATTACTAGAAAATGAACTATTCTGCTTAGTGGGAGGGTACTCAGAGTTGGAAAGTAGTTTGTAATCAGAATCACTTTCTCACGAGTCGGCAGCAGTCAGATGCAGGTGAGAGAAAGAAGAGACTGAAAGACTGAGCTCCTGTCCAATCTGTAGATGGTGCTGGGAGCGGTGAATGCCCATGACACACATCGGCCCATTCATCCCCTCAGCAAATACACGCTGGGCATTTGCTAGGCACCAGGCACAGTGCATGCGTCACAGAGACACAGGTGCTGTGCCTACTGCAGGAGCGCAACAAGCATGGACACTTTCTTACTTGATCCTTATGACACACTCATGAGATGGATACAATTCTTATTCCCATTTCCTAGATGCTGACACTGAGGCCCCAAACTACAGGAAAGCATGCAAAGTCACACAACGGGAAGGAGACCTGCCCCTTTGTTGGGTCACGAGTCCCTGGATTCCTCTGAGCCACTTAGACTTTTAACCTCAGAACTGAGTATACATTTCAGTAATTAAATAGCAAGCCATTTCTGCACTTGCTTCATTCCCCAATGCTGAAATCCTGATTCCTAAACATAATGCAGGCCAGTGTGCAGCAGAGGATATTAGCTTTCCAGAAGGCCATTATCCCCTACACCCTCTGCCAGGGCGGTGACTTTACACGGGCATTCTTCCCGGGGGCAGCCAGCCCAAGTCTCATCTGAGCCTGCGGGCACCAGCAAGCGAATGCGTATCAGCAGCTGGGGATGCGCCTGAACCCAGTTATGCCCTCGCGCTCCCGGGAGCTTGTCAGCGCTCTGTCTCAGGTGGACGCAGCACCAACTCCAGCTGCTGACAGCAGTGGCTGATGTGGGCGTGGCTTTGGAAACTGTCTCTGCCCCCTGCTCTCTTTGACAACAGGACTCTGGTTATGCATCCCGGGCTGGGCTGTATGACTGTAGCCGCTCCCGCAGAACTAGCAAGGTTTGCAGAGGTTTAAGGAATATTTTGAAAATGAATTATCAGCTCAAAAGGAGTGAAGGCATCGGAGGAGGCCAGTGCTTTTACATCAGAAATAGGGAGGGAGCCACACATGCATCGTGGGGACAGTTAAAGTTCTTGCCACCAGTCGGCAAGCGGCTGCCACTTGGGATATCTGGTTCCTGTGTCGGAGTGCCTGGGTTCAAGTCCTGGCTCCTCTGCCCCTGATTCCAGTTCCCTGCTGGTACGTGCTCTGGGCGGCAGCAGAAGATGCCTCAAGCACTTGGGCCCCTGGCTCCTACCTGGGAGACCCAGACTGAGTTCTGGGCTCTTGGCTTAGTCCTGGCCCAATCCTGGCTATTGCAGTCATTTGGGGAGTGAACCAATGGAAGGGAGATCTTTCTCTCTCTCTCTCCCCCTCTGCCTTTCAAATAAGTAAAACACGGCAAAATAAAAAGAAAATTTTCCCTAGAGAAGCCACCACTGGATCATTCTTCTTCTTGGTTATTCTCTGTTACATTTCTTTGTGTCTTGGCCTCCATAAAACCCTGAAGACTCTGTATTTTCACGCCATTTAAATGGTTCTGCTTGACTGTCTCAACGCACCTGTCACTCCTAAATAATAGGAGTGACGATAGGTCTTCTTGCTGGGAGGATGAAGCCCTCGAGGCCCAACAGAAACACAGTGGCTGAGACCCGGCCACCAGGCCTGGCCTCTCTGATTCTGTGTCTGGCAGGAAAGGGAAGTGTTTGGAGCAGCTCCTGAGCTTTCTGACATATGGAAGGAGGGGATTATCCCGGGATTAACCAAGAGGCTATTGCTTTCGGTGACGGTGCAACAGCAACAACCAACAACCGATTTTAAAAGGCAAGGTTGGGCCGGCGCCATGGCTCACTTGGTTAATCCTCCACCTGGGGTGCCAGTATCCCATAAGGGCACCGGGTTCTAGTCCTGGTTGCTCCTCTTCCAGTCCAGCTTTCTGCTGTGGCCTGGGAGGGCAGTGGAGGATGGCCCAAGTGCTTAGGTGCCTGTACCCGTGTCTGGGAGACCAGGAGGAAGCATCTGGCTCCTGGCTTCAGATCAGCTCAGTGCTCCGGCCGTGGCAGTCATTTGGGGGATGAACCAACGGAAGGAAGACCTTTCTCTCTGTCTCTCTCTCTCTCTCACTGTCTATAACTCTACCTGTCAAATAAATAAATAAATAAATAAATAAATAAAGGCAAGGTTAATGCCACCTTCAGAACTTGGGGAACACAATTCTCACTCTGGAAGAAATGGCAGAATGTCACAACACAGACGATTTTGGCTCGCAGCCTGCGGTCATGGGAAACCAGCCCATGGAGGGAGGGAGTTCCTGACCCACACAAAAGGAAGGTAGCAGAGCCCTTTTCACTTCGCTAAAAGCAGAACTCAGAGAGCCACTGAGCGCGCTCCCGAGGCCCTCTCTATCCGCAGCTAACAAATGGATAAGAAGCAGCGTTTGTCTTGGCTGGTTTCTGCCACTGTCCTTTTTCCAAGAACTGCAGTAAGTAGTGCACTTACCTGCCAGGTGAGCCCGGCACAAAGAGATTTGATCCCTGCCGGCCAAAAAACCTTACATGTTGCTGGAAAGGATTTTTGTTTGTTTGTTTTCAATAAGGAAGTGGATTAGGGAGGTGAATGGGCCGGAGGAATCCCCAACCCCTCTCTCCCCGCAGCCCAGGCTGACAATCTCTCTCTCTCAGAGCCTGCACAAGTGTCCCTGAGCCACTGCTGCCTGACCTGTTCTGTGCCGGAGACCTCACCGAGCTGCGGTGCCACCATACCTGTGTCTTTCCCCCGGTACTCTCCTGGACAGCTGTGCGTGACAGGGCAGTGGTGGCCACAAAGCAGGAGAAGCAGCCAGAGAAGATGTTGCTGATCCCAAAAGCAATGAACTCCTAAGGGAGAGAACGGATGACGGTGATGCTACCCTCGGCATCTTTGCAAGACCCTCACCAAGGGTCCAGGGAAGTCCACTGAGAAAGCGAGCTCCCAACCCCAGCCTGCCTGCCGGCCCCGCCTCACCCTTGTCACTCAGGGGACTTGGGGGCCTCACGAGACATCAGCTGTTGGGACTCCACAGGACCCGAGAGAGGCCTTACTGCTGGTGATTGTTTATAACGTGGAGAATTCGTAATGGATCCTGTGCTAAAGTGCTTTCTCATTACCCGCTGAGTGACGTCTGCCTTTTGGTAGCCGAGTATTTGTTGTGACTCTGTTTGGTGACTAACCCTTTAACCGCTGTCATTGCTGTGCCTTGGTTTTGGAAACTCTTAGATCCACAATTTGTCGATTTGTAAGCAGGGTAAAGACTCGGCTTGCCAGCTCTCCTGGCAGTGTATCATAGAACTATAAAGATTGTCCCCTACTGCAGTCAATTGGCTCAATTTAAAGGAGCCACAACTTTGAGTTCCTGACTTCCAGCTTTGGCCTGACACACTCACAGCTCTTGTAAGCATCTGGAGAATGAACCAAAGAAGGGAGGAAATCTGTCTCTCAAATAAATAAACAATAAATAACCAGTGCTAGCATGGGAGCACAGCAGGTTAAGTCATCACTTGCAGAGCCAGCATCCCATATCGAAACACCACTTCAAGTCCTGGCCCTGCTTCTGGTCCAGATCCCTGCTAATGCACTTGGGAAGGCAACAGATCTTGGCCCAAGTACTTGGGACCCTGCTACCCATGTGGGAGTCATGGATAGAGGTCCTGGCTCCTGCCTTCAAGTTGGCCCAGCCCCAGCCATTGCAGCCATTTGGGAAATGAACCAGCAGATGCAACACTGTTCTCTCTCTTTCTCTCTCCCTGCCACTCTAACTTTCAAATAAATAAATACATCTTAAACAAAACAAAAACAGTGGCGGATACTGGGTTACATGAAGAATTCTTATTCTGCCTTAATCCATAAATTTTGCAAGTTGTTTGTGGGCTGATTGAATCATTGTTACTTTAACTTACATCTGAAAATATGCAGCATGTGTATTTCAAAATAATTTCTAAGCATTAAGCGCGAGAGGAAAAAGGACCTAATAAGGACCACAGTAGGAAACCTCCTTTATGCTTTCTTCTTGCTTTCAGCCCCATAAAACCAGTTCCACGCAGGGTGACCGTACCTGGTTCCCGTCGATGGTGTAGTCGTACTTGGTGGCATACACCTTCCCTACAGACACTGCGATTGCATAAGCCACCACAGCGATGGAAAACGACTCCGCCAGCATCTTTGAAAACAGGCTTACGGGTGGAAGGGAAGGAGGCAAGAACCTGGGGAGGTTTTCGATGAGAATCGTCATCAGACAGATTTAATCACAAGTCTCTTTTCAACACTACATCGACTCAGCTGTGGGTTAGACGGGAAAGTACTTGATCCAAGAGAAGAAAAAGCAGAGCAGATGCACAGACAGCGGCATCCACTTTTACAGCGTTTCTCAGGAGCTCACGGATTGCCACCGATGGATTATAGCCTGCAAATGCAACCCTTTCTGTGCCACTGACACCAGCTTATCCCACCCACACCATTCTGCACATTAGGATCTCTTCTTATACAATTTCATATTAAAGGCCTCCCAATGTAAAAGATATTTTAGCCATCATATCAGATTTACTCTGTATGAAGAGGTTTTACCTTAAGAGAAGTACCATTTAAAATTTACTTGAGGCTAAGAAATTGTAAATTCATGTAATTATCACAATGCTCCGTGGTGATAAAAATACTCCAAAGATTTTGGAGTCAAATGACTACTTTTGGACAGGACCAGAGTTACTTTACAAAATCAATCCAGGGGGAAACAGCATCTGTGATTTTATTGGCTTCCCTTCTGCTGTTCATCCCTGTGCCAAACTTTATTCTTGTAAAAAGATTTATCTATTTATTTGAAGGAGTAACAGAGAGAGAGGGAGAGAAGCCGAGAAAAAGAGATCTTCTATCTGCTGGTGTCCTCCCCTTTTATGGCTGTAGCAGCTAAGGTTGGCCCAGGCCGAAATCATGAGTCGAGAACTCCATCTGGATCTCCCACCAGGGCAGCAGGGGCCCAAGTCCCTGAGCCATCATTCACTGTCTCCCCGGAGCATTAGCAGGAAGCTGGATGGGAAGCTGAGCAGCCAGGACTCCAAATGGCACTACCAGCATCGCAAGCAGCAGCTTAATGCCCCACCCCTCAACCCACTCCACATCACACTTTAAAGTACAACTGCAATGCATATCACTTTAAAAACAAGGTATTACATGTGATGACAAGAGGAATCTTGTCACCAGTGATGCGAGCACTAGTCACTGGTGTACTCAGAGATGAGACAGGACAGAGTGAGAGTGGGGATTAACAATTTAGAAGACAAGACAGTTCTTACTGTGGATTAAGATACACACACACACACACACACACACACACACGATGCCGTAAGAAGAGAGCCTAGGAAATGAAGACATCAGGGGCCAGCATTGTGGTGCAGCAGGTTAAGCCTCCACCTGGGATGCGTGCATCCCATATTGAAGTGCTCATTGAAGACCTGGCTGCTCTGCTTCTGATTCAGCTCCCTGCTAGTGTGCTTATGAAAACTTGGATCCCTGCTAACCATGCGGGAGACTGGGATGGAGTTCCTGGCTTCTGGCTTCAGCCTGGTCCAGCCACGAACCCATGGATGGAAATATCTCTGTCTCTTCCTCCCTCTCTCTGTCAATTGCCTTTCATAAATAATATAAATCTGAAAGTGAAAGACAGACAGATGGAAAGAAAGAAGGAAAGGAAGGGCAGGCAGGCCTAGGGACTCAAGCCAGGAGCTGGGGACTCCATCCTGGTCTCCCACAAATGGCAGTTACCCAATTACTCGAGCCATCACCACTGCCTTCCAGGGTCTACATTGGCAGGAAGCAGGAGTTAGGGGAAAGAACTGGGAATAGACCCAAACAATCAGATCTGGATGTGGGTGTCTTTTTTTTTTTAAAGATTTACTTATTTATTTGAAAGTCAGGGTTACAGAGGGGGTGGGTCTTCCATTGGATGGTCCACTCCCCAATTGGCCGCAATAGCCAGAGCTGCGCTGACCCAAAGCCAGGAGCCAGGAGCTTCCTCTGGGTCTCCCACACAGGTGAACGGGCCCAAGGACTCTGGCCATCTTCTACTGCTTTCCCAGGCCATAGCAGAGAGCTGGATCGGAAGTGGAACAGCCGGGACTCGAACCGGTGCCCATATGGGATGCCAGCACTGAAGGCGGCAGCTTCAGCCACTATGCCACAGTGCCAGCCCCCGGATGTGGATGTCTTAACCAGCACCTTAACTAAACACTAAACACCATCCCCAAGAAGTTACATGTTTTCACCAGGTCAGAAAGTGAATGGCATGGAGTCTGTGTTGGGCTGTCTTACAGGACATCATTTCTGGGGACAGAGCAATCCCAGTGTAGGTTCCTGACTCTCCATCCGACAGAAGGAAGCTGCCAACAGCAGCAGGCAGACTGGAGGACTGAAGCAGGGAGGAGATGAAAGGGTTGATGTCAGTCTCTCTACCTACCCCTCTCCCTTTCCTTGTCCTCACTGCGGCCACAGTGACATTCTGCTTTCCTTTGCTCGTCTCCAGTCTCTCCACACCACCTGTTCTCTTGCATGCTTCTTAACACCCTTAGAATTGTTTTGTGCCACCAGGCGAGATCAGAGAACAAAGGCCTTTCTTGTGGTTTGCTCAGGATGATGACACAGGCTCGAGCTTTGGATCCCTTCCACTAATACGCTCTGAGAGCCTGCTGGTGAGGTGAGGCCTGCACCAGGGAGACAGACCTGAACAACACCGATGGCGCCGCTGCTTTACAGAGAAGCTGGCGGCCCTGGGCCCAAGCAGTAATGGAAGCTGATCAAGAGGTGATACCAGAAGATTCAACTTGACTTGGCCCAGGGCCACAGGCTAGTGGCCCCTGCTCAGGAGGGGAGCAGCCAGGACAGCCCTGAAGAGGGCCAGGGAGATGGCTTGGGGTAGCAAAGGATGGTCTCTAAATCAGTTAGTGGAACATGGATTTATGGGGTGGGGGTGTGATGTGGACTACCTATAACTTATGACAGCAGGATCCATGAAACACTTGTTTCTGTAATTGTAACTACTCAGTCTAATGGTTAGAGTGAACCACACTGCATCTCTTATCATTCAGTTGCTCCCAGCATTAGAATTCACTATGGAAATACTGATCTTATGGACATACAGACCCTACTGATGATGAGAATCACTTGAGGGGTTGGCACTGTGGCACAGTAGGCTAAGCATCCGTTTGTGGCACTGGCATCCCATATGGGTACCAGTTTGTGTCCCAGCTGCTCTTCTTCTGATCCAGCTCTCTGCTTGTGGCCTGAGAAGGCAGTGGAAGATGGCAAGTGCTTAGGCCCCTGCATCCATGTGGGAGACCCCAAGGAAGCTCCTGGTTTCAGATCAGCCCAGCTCCAGCCATTGCGGCTATTTGGGGAATGAACCAGTGGATGGAAGATCTCTCTCTCTCTCTCTCTCTCTCTCACTCTGTTTCTCCCTCTCTCTGTCTGTAACTCTACCTCAAATAAATAAACCTTAAAAAAAAAAAAAAAAACTGAGGCACTTTTGGACAATGCTAATTCCCAGGCCTCTCCTCTGGAAAGCCCACTTCAACAGGTTTGATGTATGGGCCAGAAATCTGTGTTTAAAAGGGTCTTGGGACTCTTACTAAAAGGTAAATTTCAGAAACAGTATCAAGGATGATATATATTATAAGAAACATGGGGCTGGCATTGTGACAAAGCAGATTATGCCATCGCCTGTGACGCTGACATCCCATGTGAGCACTGGTTCAAGTCCCCGCTGCTGCACTTCCCAGCCAGCTCCTTGCTGATGTACCTGGGAAAGTAGAAGAAGATGGCTCAAGTGCTTGGGCCCCTACACCTATGTGGGAGACTTGCAAAAAGCCAGTGGCTCCTGGCTTTGATCTGGCCCATTCCTGGCCATTGAGGCTGGTTGAGGAGTGAACCAGCAGATGGACGATCTTTCTCTGTCTTCTCCCTTTCTCTCTCTGTAACTCTGCCTTTAAATAAATAAATAGTTTAAAAGAACAAGAAGAAATAGTTAGGATTAATCAAGTAGGAATAAGCCAAAGAAATAAGCTTGTCTGAGGAGTGTCTTTAAAAAGCATAGAAAAATGAAGACTGACACAAGAACCTTCCGCTAGCGTCAAGGGTGGGGAGACCCATCCCAAGTCTGGCCATAAAAAAGTCACACATAAAATAAACACCTTGCCTTCCTTTGGAAGCCGCAGGGTGAAGTCATAGCGTAGTCCAGTGTGTCACCCTGCGGATCCAGGACAGAGTCCCCTTGGAGTTGCACAACGAGCTGCAGTGGAGGCTCTTGTCTCCCTTGTTTACAGGAGAACCTCCCACGCCATGAAACTAGCTGGTGGCTGAGAAGGACACAGGACCTTGGTCTTTTGCTCTTCTACTTCCCCTAACTACCAAACATATAAAACTCCCCTTGAAGATAATGGACTTTATTGATAGCTACCAGTGAGATAATCATTATCTAAGATGGGTTCAACGAACTGGTGAAGGATTTAGGGCGGATTTCGCCAGTCTCTTGGGCAGACTGATCACAGTGCACTCAGTGTTAGTAATCAGGATGCTATTTGTACTGTATGGTAATGACATAAATGAGTTTAAGTCAGGATCTAAGGTGAATTGGACACGTCCTGCTACACTGTTTAAAAAGGAAGAAGAAAAGAGAAAGCATATAGGGGCTTTTTTTTTTTTAATATTAAAAAAAGATGCCTTGGACTTTATCTGCACATACTGATGGTTTGCACAAATGGCTATTTCCTCAAGATCACCTGCCAAAGGCCTTTTGAGGAGCACCTGTGGAGTGAAGCTTGCAACAGAAGATTTCATTTAACCAGAAAGCACTGACCCATACATTTGTATCAGCTAAGGGGAGACCCATACTCACCCCCTGGGGATCGATTTAACAATGCCAGCATTGTAATTTTTTTCTAAGTTGGCTCCATAGGAAATGGCAGTGGCAATTATTGTCTGAAATAAAACAAAAGAAGTTGCAAAAAGGAACAGAAAACTCCACTGGGTTAAAGTAATTCCTTGCTTCTCAATCTAATTGCTGTTGAATGTCCTCACTACATATTCTACTTACCACAATTACTTCTATAGGAATTGGGACTGGAATTTTGTGTTTAAATCGATCGTTTATCTCCTTCACTGCCATACAGATAACAATGGTGAGTAATCCAGCAATTAAATCTGCGATATTGGTATCACGAATATTTTGAAAAATTTCAATCAGAGTCTGTAAAAGGAAAAAAGGTTTGATATATTTCCTGCTACACAGACACACCCAAAAATCAATTCTCATGCAAACCTTCCCACATAAAAACCATGATATCATCATTAAACAATACTTGGCAGTGTCATGTAAAATCACACACACACAAAAATGTTGGTTAATATAAAGACCATGAAGTACATGCCATCTCTTCAACTCTCTCTCTCTCTCTCCTCTCAATCCCTCTCTCTCTCTCTCACACACACACACACACACACATGCACACAAACACACACAAGGGGACATCAAAAAGGTCACAAAAAAAAAATAGAATTAAGGGGCCAGTGCTGTGGCATAGTGAGTTCGAGTCCCAGCCTCTCCACTTTCTGATCCGCTCCCTGCTAATGGCCTGGGAAATGAAATGGAGGACGGCCCACATGGGAGACCCAGATGAAGCTCCTGGCTCCTGGCTTCAGCTTGGCCCAGCCCTGACCATTGTGGCCAACTGGGGAGTGAACTAGCAGATGGAAGGTCTCTTCCTCTCTGTAATTCTTTCAAATAAATAAATGTTTAAATAAACAAAAAAGATATAGCTCAATTCTTTGAGATGAGTAATCTCCAAAAGAAGTTTACTTTTCTTTGAGTGACTCTTTTTATAGACATATTTTTATGTGACGATACACAAATGGAGAATCTTATAGTTTATAACATGGAACTTACTGATTTTTACAGATGAAGAACTCTGAAGGTAATGACAATGCCAACCTGGTAGCAACTACACAACACATTAAGTAATCTCATCTAGGAGTTGGTTTACCAGGAACCTCAACTCTATGGGACACATTCAAGGATAAAGGAAAGAGTGAGCCGGCGCCGCGGCTCACTAGGCTAATCCTCCACCTAGTGGCGCCGGCACACCGGGTTCTAGTCCCGGTTGGGGCGCCAGATTCTGTCCCGGTTGCCCCTCTTCCAGGCCAGCTCTCTGCTGTGGCCAGGGAGTGCAGTGGAGGATGGCCCAGGTGCTTGGGCCCTGCACCCCATGGGAGACCAGGAGAAGCACCTGGCTCCTGGCTCCTGCCATCGGATCAGCGCGGTGCGCCGGCCGCAGCGCGCCAGCCGCGGAGGCCATTGGAGGGTGAACCAACGGCAAAAAGGAAGACCTTTCTCTCTGTCTCTCTCTCTCACTGTCCACTCTGCCTGTTAAAATAAATAAATAAATTAATTAAAAAAAAAAAAAAAAAGGAAAGAGTGGCCTTGACTGCAGACCAGCAGTTACACTACAGCTGTCGGTTTCAAGTGGAGGCCTAAATGCTGTCTTTCTGTGGTCTGCTGGCTATTCTGGAACCTCAGCAGAGAATGGCTATTTGATTTGGAAGACACAAACCATGTGGGGAAAAATAAGAGGAAGGGACACAGAGCTGCCAGCATCGTCACCCAGTGGGGTGAAGCCACCACTCACAACACTGGCATCCACCTCCCTGCTAATGCATGTGGGAAGGCAGTAGAGGATGGCCCAAATGGTTGGGTCTTTGTCCCCCACTCCCCCACCCCAGCACCACATGGCTAACTTGGATGGAGTTCCTGGCTTTGGCTAGGCCTAACCCTGGCTGTGGCTGTTGCAGCCATCTGGGGAGTGAACCAGTGGATGGAAGATATCATCTCTCTCTCTCTCTCTGTCACTCTACCTTTTCAAACTAACAAATCTCTTAAAAAAATTTAGGAAATAGGAGACAGTGAAGTTACCATGCAAGCAAACTGCGTTGCACAAAGCGCTTAGACTGGCCAGCACCACGGCTCACTAGGCTAATCCTCCACCCGCAGTGCCGGCACTCCGGGTTCTAGTCCCGGTTGGGGTGCTGCTTCTGTCCTGGTTGCTCCTCTTCCAGTCCAGCTCTCTGCTGTGGCCTGGGAGTGCAGTGGAGGATGGCCCAAGTCCTTGGGCCCTGTATCCACATGGGAGACCAGGAGGAAGCACCTGGTTCCTGGCATCGGATTGGCACAGTGTGCCGCACGTAGCAGCCATTTGTGGGGGTGAACCAATGGAAGGAAGACCTTTCTCTCTGTCTGTCTCTCTCTCACTGTCTAACTCTGCCTGTCAAAAAACAACAACAACAACAAAGAGCTTGGACTACTAGAGGTCAGGCATCTAACTTGTTGGCAGCCTCTTGGCCTTTCAGTGGGGGATATTTTTGCTCTTTTGCTTAACCCAACACTACAGATTTACTTTACTTGCTTTCCAGAGTTGCTGAAAGTAGCTAGAGGCTGGGGCCAGCGCTATGGCGCAGTGGGTTAACGCCCTGGCCTGAAGTGCCGGCATCCCATATGGGCGCCGGTTTGAGACCTGGCTGCTCCACTTCCTGTCCAGCTCTCTGCTATGGCCTGGGAAAGCAGTAGCAGATGGCCCAAGTCCTTGGGCCCTGCACCCACGTGGGAGACCCGGAAGACGCTCCTGGCTTTGGATCGACATAGCTCCTACCATTGCGGCCATCTGGGGAGTGAACCATCAGATGGAAGACCTCTCTCTCTCTCTCTGCCTCTCCTCTCTCTGTGTAACTCTGACTTTCAAATAAATAAATAAATCTTAAAAAAAAAAGAAAGTAGCTAGAGGCATAGACACTGACAGCTAATGGAGCAGGGCACAGCAGGGAGGAAGAGAAGGTAGGGAAACCACCACAAGCAGTAACAACAACTCAGGACATCTAAACACAGAAAGAATAGCCCCATCTGCCTTGGAGGCCTGAAGATAATGATGGCTGTTTGACCCTTTTACATTTAATTATTAATCAATCAGATACTTAGTTAATAATTCGTGAGCTAGGTATACTGTTTTTATAAATTTTCTATAGCAAAAGTTTACTTTTCAACTCAAAATAAAAAATTCAAGCAAAATCATAAAACTTTTAGAAGGATTATATCAATCACAGAAACCTTTTTATATGTGATTTCTCTAGGATTTTCAATCTATGACAGTCAGATCTTTGAATAGAAAGCATCTTTTGTGTATTAAAAATGCTTCATGAGGCCGGCACCGCGGCTCTCTAGGCTAATCCTCCACCTGCGGCACCGGCACACCGGGTTCTAGTCCCAGTCGGGGAGCCGGATTCTGTCCCGGTTGCCCCTCTTCCAGGCCAGCTCTCTGCTGTGGCCCGGGAGTGCAGTGGAGGATGGCCCAAGTGCTTGGGCCCTGCACCCCATGGGAGACCAGGAAAAGCACCTGGCTCCTCCCATCGGATCAGCGCGGTGCGCTGGCCGCAGCACGCCGGCCACGGCGGCCATTGGAGGGTGAACCAACGGCAAAGGAATACCTTTCTCTCTGTCTCTTTCTCTCACTGTCCACTCTGTCCAAAAAAAAAAAAAAAGCTTCATGAGCTGCAAAAAAACAAAATCAGTTTATTTTAGATAATTTCAACAACCAAGGCAAATGCATAATTGCAGAAAGCAAGGCATTATATATTAAATATGTTATATATAATACATAAATATAAGGTATATATTAGCTGCCTACATATTATCATTCAGAATCTCATCAAGAGTTCTACAGTAGAAAGTTGAACCTATATAGAAATAAAAGTATTTCACACAATTACTCTCAGGTGTTTAATTAATGCTATAACTAGTACTCAAATAGTATTTTACACTTTGTGTTTCTGTGTGGGTGTAAACTGTGGAAATCTTTACTTAATATATGCTAAATTGATCTTCTGTATACAGAGATAATTGAAAATTAATCTTGATGTGAATGGAAGAGGAGAGGGAGTGGGAGAGGGGAGTGTTGTGGGTGGGAGGGAAGTTATGGGGGGGGGAAAGCTATTGTAATCCATAAGCTGTACTTTGGAAATTTATGTTCATTAAATAAAATAAAATATAAAAAAAGAAACTTAAAAAAATAAAAGTATTTCATATAAACTGAAATAGATTAAACTCAAATATACAGAAATGAGACCCTAAGAAGTACACCAAAAATAATTCCAATTTAGTTTACTATTAAAATACTAAAATATGTGTGAAATATGGACACACACACAATTCTCTATTTTGGCTTAGCACACTGTTATTCAAGTCATGATCTTGAGATTTTCTATCATGGGTGTTATCATTTGTCACACTTCCTACTGTGTTGGGAGGACTTAGGACCATTTCATCTAAATGATTTCTTTGTTCTTGCAAATTATGCTTAACGATCGTTGCCTGGAAGGAAGTTTCTCAGTTAACTTTTGGAGCTGAATTTCAGTTCATCTTATCTGGACTGTCAGGCATCTCCCTCTATCAGATATGTGGTACATGTAGAGGTCAACCCTTAACGTGCGTGTTAGCTTCTTTGTCAAATCCTATCAGGCTTAGTGGCAGCTTTCAAAACTGTTACCTTTGGGCAAACTTTTCAACTTGGTCTTCTCCCTCATTACGGGAAGAAATGAAGCAGCTGGCATCAATTTAGTAAGCGAGTGAAGAGAGCTTCCTTGCCCAGCAAGGTGAACCATTTATTTGAAAGGCAGAGTTACAGAGAAAGAGGGTGAGAAAGGGAGAGTGGTATCCTCCCTCTGCTGGTTCACTCCCCAAATGGCTGCAAAGGCCCAGACAGGACCAGGCTGAAGCCAGGATCCAGGAGCTTCACCTGGGTCTCCCAGATGAAGTGGGTGGAAGGGGCCAAATAATTGGGCCATCTTCTGCTGCTTTCCCAGGTGCATTAACATGGAGTTGGATTGGAAGTGGAGCAGCCAGGATGCAAACCAGCGCCCACAGGGGATGCCAGTGTCGCAGGTGGCAGGTTTGCCTGCTTGCCCCGACACAGTCACTCTTAAGTGTACTGTGGGATTTTCTTTAGATTGAGTAGCTGTATGATAGTATCAAGAGTATTACCATTTCTTTGTGAATTATTTATAAATTTTTAAAATTTATTTTATTATTTTTTAAAGATTTATTTTATTTATTTGAAAGACACAGTTACAGAGAGGTAGAGACAGAGAGAAAGGACTTCCATCCACTGGTTCACTTGCCAAATGGCCGCAACGATCGGAACTGAGCTG